ACGGTCTGCGTTGGCATCGCACTTCGTCAAAGCAGGTGAGCTCCGTATGGGAAGCGATGGAGAAGCCACAGGGGGGCGCTCTGCCAGTCATGTCGGTGTCGGACACCGATCTCGTGGCACATCGGTCCACACGGACTGCCAGGGACCAACGGTTCGGTGAGGCAGGGATTTGGTAGCTGAGGTGGTGGCAGCATGATCGACTTCATAATTGAACTCAATGATGCTGTCGCAACAGCAGCAAAAAGACCGCTATCTCACCGAACCTCTCAAAGCCTCTTTCGTGCAGATGTGCAAATCGGGAGCTTGACAAGCTCACCACGCGGAAATCATTCATCCCTGCCTGCGCAGGTCAAGCAAAGAGTTTTTGGGCGCTGCACGACCTGCTGGGCCACGGTACACATCCAAGAAGCGAAAACAAAAACCAACCAACTTGTCGTTCCTAGGCCCCAGGTCTGCAAGACAAGCCGTTTGATCCGAAAGAAGTCCAAACAAACTGAGCAGTCTTACGCCAAATGCACCGCCGAGCAGTCTGGTAGTAGTCAGCTTGTGGGTCGCAAAATGCTTGGGATATCTTCAACTCCTGTCCTCCCTCAGGTCCATACGCCTTCCTGTGCTGGCAAAACATGTTACTGTAAGTATTTTTTCAAGGACGAACACTTGACGCACATTGTTGCCACGGTACTTGGAGTAACATTCACTTGCTCAGGTAGCACAGGCAGCCTGTCGGTATCGAATGTGAATATCCTGAAACAAGACACTGGAGTTGTCCAGGATCTTGTCGTTCAGCAAGTCCAAGATGTCCTGAATAAAAACCAAGAGTTTCAAACTCCACCGTCCTCCCACATTTTGCACTGAGGTGTATGAGCGAATAGCAGCCGCTAATCTCAAATCACCAACAAAATGCCATACGAGTAGGGTTCATCAATACTATATATATGTAATAGACATGGATTCCGCAAACATATCTCATGTTGCCCAATGTCCCTTCGCCGGGAGTCATGGAAGTGCCAAGCCGAGACATCCCTTCCGTTGATGCTTTTCACCTCAAAGCCATGTCTCGAACTTGGAATGCGACATAACGGCGGTCTTCCCAAGTGCTAATCAAATGTATGTCTTTTAGGGAACAAGTGCTGACAAGCGAATATATAGAGAGAGATAGTTCTTGAAGCCAATTGCACTTTTTTCCTGACAACTTTTCTGATTCCCGTTCCTGCGATTTCTCAGAGAGTCTTTTCTGTTTTCTCCTTCCCCGAAACCAAGTCATGGCAATGAAAGAGTGGTGAGAACAACCGCATTTGATCCGTGTTTTGTCTGAGCCCAAGTGCAAGTGAGTGCTCAAAAGTATTGTACTGTTCAGCAACTGATATCAAATTATGCTTTACAACAGGTCCATGTCCTTTCGAGAAGAGCCAAGCCACTGCCAAGCCTTCTTGCACACCTTGCTTTGCAGCTCGTCCTTGCGGATCTCCGGGATATCGCTCCTGGAGGATCTCTGGAACATCGACCACCATGCTCGGATCAAGTGCCATGTTCCCAATGATGCTGCAAAACACCTGTGACGAAGTCCGCTCTTGGAGTGTTTGCTCCTTTCCAAGCTCCCACACCATCGCCCCTCTTCCATTCCTCCGGAGTTGCGCCAGGTTCATTCAAGTCATGAATGGCAATCGAAACCGGGGAGTACAAACAGAACAACCATCATCCATGGCCAATGGCCGACCGAGCACCTAGAGACCTGATGTGACCAAGATTGTGCGACTTATTCTCTTTAGTCATATGATTCGCTATGTCCACTGCCACCTTGGAGCCTGGCCATTTAACACGGAGGGGCTTTACAGTTACAGGCCTGGCTATCGAAGAACTTCAGACCCGTCAAATCGGAAGTAACAAACAATGTTATGTCCGTGTGAGCGACCCAAATGCAGCCATAATATGCATTTTCAACCAAGGCTCCAGCCAGCCCAACTATCTACCACCCTTGTCTCGGGGGTCCTTTTTCACTTCCAAAGAACATGCAAAACTCCTTTCGACAACGTGGGGTGTCCTGCTGGGTGCATAGGCCAGAACCCCGAAGGGTCGCGCTTGGAAGGTGGCTGAGATTGACGGCCCCGCAGCAGCAGCCGCATCAAAGCGAAGCTCAGGGATTTTACCTCGGGACGAGTGTCGTGCGAGGTGAGGAAAGAGGAGAAAGTGTGTTTTCTTAGTATCATAGAGTCATAATACAATTACGTACAGTACTTATCAATTATAGCTGATAACTCATAACTGTTAATATGAATATGCTTTCATGGGTTTTGGAAGTGATCCCCCCCAATCAACCTCTGCCAGCTCACGCCCTTCACTATCTCGCAGTCCCCGTCGTCGAAGCCGGCATGCCGCTGGAACCGCGGCTCCGGCGGCCAAGGCCGCAGGCGTCCTGAAGGCGCGGTCGATGCTCTCTGTGAGGACCAAAGGATCCCAAAGGCTTTAAGGCACGGTAGGCTGAAAGGAAAACACATTTGCAGGAAGAAGGCCAAACTCTGTTTTGTAGACGGTGAGCATGGGCGAGCGGTTAGCCATACTGGGGTATGTCAATCTGTGTTGAAATGATGTTTTTCTCTTCAATCAGTATGTTTGACCTGCACATGCAGTCCTGAGAGAAGTGCCAAACGATCTTGGAATCTGCTTGCGAATCCTGCACTCGATGCTGCAAAGCGTTCTTCTAGTCTTGCAACATGCTGGGACATATGATGCGACAAACATGGCCAAAGAAGGCTTTAAGGAGATCGGTATCTATCGACATTCATTGCGGCTTGGATCAAGCAAAAAGCCTTGAGTATGGTATCTCCAGCCGATGAATTCCTCCCAGTCAGCACAGCAAAAGAGTTTTGTCCACTAAACGGATGTCGGGAGAAAGCTGGGAAAAAGTGTGCAACACATACATGTGCACCTAGTGGTGCCAGACATGTAAAACATACAACTTGCTTAAAAATAAAAACAAGGACTCAACAGTTTAGACGGTTCATTCTCCAACGCAACATTCCCCGGTTTCGCTAAAAGGTGGCACGTCAAAGCTCAGTCCAGCCTCTGGCATGATGGTCTTGAAGTGCGACCTCAAAAAGCACTCAAATGGAGACTGAACATGGCCCGACGTGGCCAGCGTCTTACACCGTCTTACAGTCAGTTCTCTGTTTCGTTTTGGGTGGCATTCACTAGTACAAAGGAGAAGATCCGTACATCGTGCCAGTCGCTAGAAAGATGGTGCCAGGGTTCAATCACTCTGATCCTCCCAACCCAAGTGGCTTGCTGTGATGGGCATGTCGCTGCAGAACTTCATCGCTCAAGGGTATATGGAACCGGAAAGCAACCCCAGCGTGCTATCCGCTGGTTTCCACCAGCATCTTGTGATGTTCTTTTTGTCCAAATGGGATTGCCAAACAGGCCTCAGCCTCCTACCTTCCCAACCGAAGAACCACTAGAATTTGCAAGAATTGACATTCCTGCCGCAAAATTAACACTCACCAGGAAAGGCAAAGAGCACTTCGGCAACTAACACGTCATCACACGCACTTCATCACACGTAATCCATGGTTTTACCAACCACAAGTCATCGCTTCGATGGGCCTCGTTTGGTCAAACACTAAAGCAACGAGTTCAGTTCCAGCCATCGTTATTCTAATAAAGAACACAATACAGTAAAAGTATAGTTGGGATGTCCTCCCGTTGTGACAAACATGTCCCAGCAATCTTGGATCAAGCAGCTCCCAAGAGCGGATGCCTGCAGCCGACAACAGAGCACTGTTGACATTACAAAACACAACCTCAAAAATGGGTCGAGCAACTCAAGATCCCTCGCTCCGAAGCATCACCAAGTTGGGAGAGATTGAATGCAGGAGCCCATCTCGGCCACATTGTACCCAGCTGAAGAGCATGCAAGGAGTGTTTTGATGGTCGGTGGGGGGTCTCTTCAAGAATCAACCCCTCTTCCAGGTGCAAGTGGAAAGCTTGGAACTTGTCTTCGGCGACCGAGAAATGATCTGAACGCTCCTCGAGTTGGAAGGGTCCAGTAGGACCTACAGTAGATATACCTAGATGGAACTTCCATTCTTGGAAACAAGAGCACTAAACCTTGCCAACTGAAATGTCTGGAATGTCGGCCCTCGCCAACTCCATCCAACTTCCAAAAGGATCCAATCAACAAGTCCAGCAGCTCACATCCGACAGCTCACGGGCTATCTTACTTGCTTGAGGTTGGGGCCAGTGTTGAATTCTATCCTTTATGATTGTCATAAACGAACCAGCTATGCATTTTTGCAAGAAAGTGGAGGATCCAAAACTTTTGGACATTGAAAACTCGATGTAGCACTCGGGAGAAATCCTCCTTGGGGATGCGCAAATCTGTAGGAAGTCACCCACCCATGCCCTCTATCTTCGCCCTTGCCTGGGACACCGATGGCCAAATCTCCATGGTTCTCCGAGGGACAGCTGAATAGGATTTGGCTTTTGGTGGTCTCAAGCTGCTTTCACTGACTGAAACGAGTCAGGCATCTGATTCTTTGTTGGTTGTGGTCCAAACCTGTGAGTGATGTAGGAATGAATGCTGCTTGGGAATCGATGAGGCGTACAACGCTTCAAATTCAGCAGCCCGTGGGCAGAAACAGATTTATCATGATGTATTACAGTATCGATTCAAATCTGCCAATCACCCGAACAATGTGTTTGTGCCCTTCTTAAGATCTTGGTGTTCGCGTGCTCTGGGCTGGCTTGAGCATGGGGTTCAATGGCAGACACAGAAACGGATCGTCAACCTGTCAGTGATGCTTCAACCTGGCACCCCATGTTGGACAAACAAAATCAGAACAAACTGTAAACTATAACTATTATCACACAACATCTTCTCACATGGTATTTTGGATCTCCCAATGGCCCAAGCTATTCTTTTTGGAGGAATCAATTGCGATGCAAGTCGTCTCCTGTTTTGACTGTCACAACCCATTCAGGCCATCCAGTGATCACTATGTCGCCTCCTCATGGCGGCTTGGCCTTGCTTCCCTGCGCGGGCGTCAGTGTGTGTTTTATCACGTAGCACCTTTTCATGCCCTTTGCTTTCAGCTTTCTCGGTGGTTTTGATGCCATGATGTGCTGTGTTGAAAACCTGACGTGATGCCAGTTTCTTAGAATTCCATACCAAGTTTGAGTGAAGAGAACGTGTTCGAAAGAGGGACTTCGAAAAAGGACACTGACACACTATGCCAGCAACCTAAACCATTGGTGCTTTGGCGCCTTCCCTCAAACAACTTGAAAAACCTCCACGCAAGACGCAACACCCCTGGAGGCGTGAAGGGGCCCACCGTGCACACAACCACCATCCAACATCTGTTTCTGGAGCAGCGCAGCCAACAACTTTTCTCAAGGGCAAGGTCCGGTAAACGAGCCCTGCATGCCAAAAGCAAGTTGCTTCGTGCTGCCACCCCCTCTTCAAGGAATCCCAACCCCTTTTATACAGCTGAGTCTTCAGGCTCTTCTGGCAGGGTTGCAGGAGCTGGGGCTGCCTCAGCGGACTAGGAAGGTGCAGCTGTGTCTTGAAAAAATCGACACCTGACAAAAGCCAAGTACACAAGAAAATCAAGAAACAAGCAACACTGGGAAAAAGGCATGCATGCATCCAAGCAATTCCAACATCTGACAGGTGATTGTTTCATCCAACCCATCCCTTGAGCTCCCAACCCGCTGAGCCTGCATTCAACGTCATAACTCGGTGAAGTCATAACATTGATCATCGTCCAGGTCGATGTTTCTGCTTGGTGAAACGATTTCTGGTTGATATCACCACCATCCTGATGCAATCCGTTTCTGGTTGGTGATATCTCAATCATTGGGAATTAGGACTAGTTGAAGCACCAATCAAGTTTGCTATGATCTTCGGCATCCCCGGCCTCCCACCAGGCCCCTGCTGGGCGTTCACCTTGGCAACCGGTACATGGACAAAAAAGAACATCACTTGAATTCGAGTGATGCCCACCCTAAAAGGCAATTTGGAAGAAGGCAGGGCACAGATAGCGTGGTCTGACTAGAGTCAAGAACATCAAGATAGTGAACAAGCGTTCTCAGCGATCGGGCTAGAATTCCAGAGATGACCATCGCCATCGCAATTGAATGATGAAACTAGTGGTGAGTCATGGTGAGTCTGTTCATGGCCTTTGGGTCTCCCAATCACATCCAAGGTGGTGAATTGGTGAATTGATGTTGATCTCCCGCCACCAGGCTCCGCACTCCACGCATCTCCATGAGCAGCCTGGATTTGAAGGGTTCCAACGGGTCGTTGGATGTTGTGGTAGACGCAATGTGCTGCAGTGACATCATCCCATCGTTTCTCATACCTTCAAAGGAAGAAATGTATGGGGAACTTTAGATCTTCATATCAGCTACTTACAACCTTTATAACTTTATATATATCCTGTTAGATCCCAGCAAGAACGTCATCTCAGCTCAAGCCTTCTCAATACGTCTCAACGTCCCTTGCTGATTTGTTCAGACTCATTCACCTCTAAGGATCCGCACAGCCACATTGGGCGGCTGGTGTGGCCTCGGGATCGGGCTTCAAGCAAGGCACGACTCTTTAGGTTCTATGGATGCCTATGGATCCTGCAGCTGCACCTGAAGTGGACTTTATTTTGAGGTTGGTGCAGGCTCTGGAAAGTCTCAATCCATCGTAAATCTATAAAATCTGAACGTGGAGGCCATCGCTCTTAGGTTGGAGGCCATTGCTAGTAGGTTGGAGGCCATTCCTCTTACTGTAGGTTGGAGGCCATCGCTTCTAGGTGTGGAGTGTCCATTGGTTTTAGGTGATGCTTGGAGCCATTCTTTGGCCATTGGTAGGCCGGTGCCAAGAGTCGATGGAAGTAGCAACACGGCCATGGAGAGGCAGTGGCGCATCAACCGTACTAAGGCTCCAGGCAGCTCAAAGTCATGCAAGGCTGCACCTGAGGTGAAGGCCTAAGAATTCAGAAAAAGAAGCCCTGGATCAACCAGCCAAACAAAGATCACCTGAGGTATCCTGAGGTCTTGTCTATGTGTGATACTATGATGCAGGTCTTTAAGTGGTTAGGGCACTCTCCCTGTCCAGATCCTCAGCTTCCTTATGCTGAAAATGCAAGCTTTATGGGTGAAAACACTTGTGTTTGGCCTCCTTGGAGGATCCTCTCCCCAAGGGAGAAAACATAGAGACCAAGTGGAGCTTTCACGGGAACATCGAGGAGCTCGTCAATACCGAATTCCTGCGTATCCCAATGGTGTAAATAAGGCTAGGGCCACACCATACCCCTACATGCCGCCGTAGCAGTCTACAGTCCGCGTGCCTTGATTCGGGATCACCCCGCACTTGATCCCCTCCAAATCCCTTTCAATGGGGAGCTCCATCGCAACCTGGCGGCCTTTTTTCCGACTCAGCTGGGCCCGCCGCACCGAGGGATCATGTGACAAGTGCCCCAAGGAGGAGAGCACTGAGAGCGAGGAAAGGGACCGGTCCTGCAGGACTCCGATAAGTGGACGGCGGGTCCGCTGGCGGTTTGCACAAGAAAACTATGGCTAACTGAAGTTGGACTTCCAATCCCTGCCCTGCATTGCCCTGCTGCGCCCAAAGCAACCTGGTTCATGTCCCATGGTCTTACACATATTGAAGGATCCAGCTGTGGGCGGCTGCTGTATTGAAAAGAATGCTTCGCACCCCAAAAAGACGCGTCTCTTGATGCCGCTGGGTGTCCATCTCGAAGCCCAGGAGCTCCCCGACGGAGCTGTAGACCTCTGCAGCTGAAAGGGTCAAAGGCAGCCGAAAGAATATAGGGAGGAGTCACTGAGAGAGTTGGCAAATGACACAAAGCATGAAATGTCTCTCCTGCATGTAGCGGATGTCACATTTTGAGCCAAATGAGGCCAAATGTGTCAACACATGTGCAACTCCTCTGCCCTCCAAGCCCCTCACAGAACTGGAGATGGCTGAATGGCGAAGCCTAGGCATGAAGAGCCCCGGTGCTCGAAGAACCTACTGCATCGTTGACAACCACTGGAGTCAAAGAGAGGTGGGTATCGTAAGTGATTTTTGTCGAAAAGTCAGAGGAGGACAGGACGCCCCGTGATGGAAGTGGCCCATCTCACAAATCTTCAAGACAATTGGATCTCTTCCACAAAGCCTCCCATATGTCAGGAGCTATGAGTAACAAAGGGCATCGCTACTAGTAGCAAGAAGCTACTAGTAGCTCCTGGCATTACTACTAGGAACAAGGACGCTACTAGTAACAAGGGCGCAACTAGTAGCTCCTGCAACCACTCCACCGTCCGCGCCAAAGGGGGATGCTGTCGGCTGTCGCCCCGGGCAGCTGCAAGGAATCGCTCAGCCGATCCCGCACGAAGTCCATGCCCTGACGTGCCGCTCCCGGCCGACCGAAGGGAACGTTGAACACCACTTCTTTGGTTGAACAATCTGCATAATATACAACAAACAAACAAAGAAGTGGCGGAGTCTTTTGAACTCCCCAGATTATCTCCGAAGCTTCCCCACAAAGAAGGCATATTATGTTGCACGGAATCTCAATCTTTCATGTTCAGGCATCAAACCACGTAAATAAGTGAATTTGCAGTGTTCAGGTCTAGAACATTTCTTCTTGGATTTCATAGAGTCTCTTGTTCCACAAGAATCTACCGCCACGCAGCGACTCGCGTGTGGAGCGAACGCCTCACTAAAGTCCGTGGCATAGTGCTGCTGCATCTTCAGGAGGCAAAGAACCACCTCATTGGGCGACATTCTCCTGAATTCAACTGATGGATCCAAGTGGGGAACCCTGGTGGACGTGGGAGCTAGATTCATGCTCCCCTGATCAATTGACTTCTTGTTCCTCAACTTGAGCAAACAAACAAACAAACAAACACTGTATGATCCAGCTCATAGAAGTCCAAACCAACCCCCCAGGAAGAGTTGACTGTCTAATGTATTCTCGGCCGTTACCTGGGTTACGGTTCAAGACGGCCAACTCCTGGCAATCTTTCGCAGAACTAGCTTCTATAGATTGTAGATCATAATGACCCCGATCTCAATTCCTTGCAATCAAGGGCTGCATTGCAGCTAAATGAAAGCAATCAGTTCGCAGTTCTGAGTGCGTTCATTTCTGTGGCCATTTTGGTACCTACCAGGTCACCAGTAGTTTCATCCCACTCCTCCCAGACCGTCAGGCTCCCCGACCCGAGGTGCAAACTCCGGAAACTTGGTACCTGGCAGGGGCGTCAATTGCGGTTGTGTTTTCGCCAGATGTTGGAGGGGCATGTATCATCTGTCCTCGGTTCTCAGGTCCCGACCTTTCGATGGAGTCCACACAATCTCATAGCAATAGCCTCCAACCTAATAACGATAGCCTCCAATAACCTATATAATAGCGATGGCCTCCAACCTAATTACATCTTAGAAGATCAGCAAAGCATGGTGGAACATCACCGGACCCTCTACAGCAAGCTAACTGTGTTGATCCCGACAGCGCCTAGCTTAGTCAAGGAGGCGACGATCACCGACACAAAGCGTGGTGAGAAAATGGCCTAGGTGCCAAAAGCACTCAGCTTCGTGCGGGGTGGAGGCTGCAAAAAGGAGTCCGGTTGCAAAAAGATGAGGGATTCGAGGAATTACAGGTGATTTATACAACTCAGTCTGTGATGAAGCTACTAGGTTGGAGGCCATCGCTAGTAGGTTGGAGGCTGTGATGTGGTTTTAATGAGTTTGTGAATTCTACAACTGAGTACATGGAGTTTCGGATCTTCAACGACCGCGGAGGAACCACTTGCTCTCGTCAGAGACGAGACGTACTCTAGCAGCGTTCCCAGTTGGGTTCCCGGCCTCTGCACACTCCACCTGACTTGTTGGATTGATGGGCGATCTGTGTTTCATGACATCATATATATATATATATATTGTTTACAGTGCAATAATTTCATCATTTTACATCCAACCCATCATCCAACCCATCTCCTACCCCGTGGCCAAACGCACTCATCTTCCCTCAAACCGCCTTGGCCGCCAAGTCTTTGGACGTGTCAAACGCCTCATCCCCTGCCACAAAGGTACGACTGGACCATGTGGGCTTGGAAGCCCATGGCACAACATCTGACCATTTGTGCAAGTTATTTCTGGAGATTGTTTGTTGTGTGGCGTGATTTGGCACATGTGGGTGGTCCAAAATAGGATTTTCCAGTAAAGGAGATGAGATATGATGAAATGACTTGACATTTTGGTGGATATACCTGTACAATATAGAACTTTGATCCAAATTCTGCCTTTGAGATGTCAGTGGCCAAAACTCTCCAAATACCCTTTTGTCCTTGCGACGGTTTTCCGAGTCAATCACCGTCCATCCCTGTCCATCTTGTGCCTCTGCCCATACTCCCCGGCTCCTGGAGGAGAGTGACTCGGCTAGCTGGAGGTGATGGGTTTGAATCCAGTGTTTGGGGGGGAATGAGGAATGCCAACTGAGCACCTCTAGAATTCCAGTGACCAATGAGATCCTTCCCTCATGCTGGACGGGTTGCCTACGAGGAAGAACTCCAAACCGGCCGGTCACGTGGGAAAGCTTCAGAAGGCGGTTTGGCTGGGACTTAGGAGTCCCTTTTCAACCAGGTGAAATTGTTGAAACCCTGCTGACACCCCCGATGCAGCTTGAGGTTCTGCTTACAAGAGCGATGCTGCAGGTGCCTACTCATACTCAAACAACGCTTGGAATCCACAGAGTCTGCACAAATTCCATGCTATTCCATGCTATTCCCAAGGAAGTCGTGTTCGACGAAACCACAAACGGCTATTTGGCAGATTTCTTCCTATGGCTTGCTGAGTGAGTGTCGGCCGTCCTCCTCGTATGACTTGCCTGCATCCGAACTGCTAAGCTCGGTTTGGAGAGAACTTACGTAAGGCGGGCGAGACACATGTAGATGTGAGTCAAAAACCAGGAAACTGTGGTTGACCACCGGACATGCACAGAATATACTAGGGAGGTCAACCTACAAGGTTGAAGCGGGCACCAGGTTTTGGGGCAAAAGACTAATTGCTAATTGTTCGTTTAGATCTGTGATTCGAGGAGTAAACATATCAGGAAAGGCAGGTTTGGCTCATGTATGCTCATGTCCTGCCAGAAAGGTCTAACAGCAACACCAGTATGTCCAGTGGATCTGAACTCCAGCTGATTCCGAACAGAACATCTATGAACCATGGCCGCCAGTCTCCGATGAGGCTGAACAACACCTCCAAAATGCTCCAACAAATGCCGTGAGAAGCATGAAAGCAGGGCATTTCCGTGCCAAGGATCGCGAACCAACATATTTGATACACATACTTATATATTGTAAACATATACATAAAGCTCTTTCTTGAGTAGCAAGCAAAAGCCTAACGTCCCAGAACAGTTGGATGATTTGGCTCCACCATCGTGGGGCCAACGTGTTCACCCCGAGCTTCAGCCGCCGAGGCCCCCAGCTTTCGCCGGTGGCTTTACCTTCCAGGCCTCTCGTCGTCGCCCGTCTTCGTGCTACATCGGTCCCGTCGTCTCCCGCCGTGGGCGTCAGTCTCTAGTCCCGCCAAACAGGGCAGGAAGGCCACAAGCACTCGGAGCAAGACCCGAATGGGCTGAGACGTTGTAGGGTCAAGATTCTGATCTTCCAGGGATATTCTAGGACCCTTTCATAGATCAAAGGTGGAAGGACATCAGGACTAAGTCACAATTGAATCAAACAAGTTCAGAAATGGAAGTGATCGCATCTTCTACGCTAATAAAGAAAACATGGCCAGAACTTCAATGAATTCATTCATGGAAGGTTCACCCCGGGGTTCCATGACATGGTGGCATCCTTCTAAACAGAACACCGAAATACAATCAGCACGGACATCAGAAAACACTTTAGGTGGAAACAACAGACCCAGTCTGACCCAGTGTCTATAAGCGTGCCAAGGCAAAATACAAAACAAGGCGGGTCCCTTCTTCGTAGCCTTTCCTTTTCGCCTGTGTCGGCGCTTTTGCCAAATAGACGTTGCTGCCGTGAACTGCATGATGCTGGTTCAGCCGGGCCTATGTTCTTTGTATCGTACAAGTTTGCAAAGATTTGGCAGTTATATAGGTTATAGGATAGGAGCGTACAAGGAAGTCTGTGTACAAAATATCCCACCTCATCTTGTGCTTCTCAATAGCCCACTTTGGCTTTCTTCACAGCGGCACTCTCGTAGGCAAGCAGGGCTTCAACTGAATGACTCACACACAGCCCCGTACAAACATGCCCTCTGTTTAGCAAGCGTACATAAATCTACGTAATCTTGTTGCTCAGCTCTTGGTACAAAACAAGCAAATTGTCATCCCACAAGCCAGAACTACCTGCCGGGCCAAAAACAGCGGAGTGGAGTCTATTATCACCGTCAGTGCCTAACTAGGTTGCTTAAATGTTGCACGACGCGGAGGCTGATCCAAGACCCATCCCTAAGGCCTCAAGTCTCGCATTCCAACGCTTCTCTTTGACATTATGGCCACCGGTAGCGAGGGGGCGCTTTGAGCTCTTGGGTCAAAACCCCATGTCACCCATGCACCCCAAAGCACCCACGGAAATATTGTCGCCATAATACATACACAAGCATTCACCACATACAAGGGTAATAGGATCCCTCCTTCCAATTACCTGTAGCAGACTGTAGCATCATCACCACACAGAGTGTGCCCCAGGTGGTTGGAACAGCTCCAGTTCCAGATCCAGTTCCAGTGGGGAACACTATGTCACCACGACACCAAAGTCTTCTGTGACACTTAGGCCTCAGGTAGCCTCCAAATCTACATGCCCATGAAAGTGACCCATCACACCTATTCCTTTTGCCATGCTTCGATTGATTTTTGCGCAGTGGGCTGGAACGGGCAATGTACAGCTCGGCTGAGATTTCAATGGGCGACCGGTCGGGACCACCAGCGAGCGGGCAGGACCCACGGCGCTTCGAAACAATCGGTGTTCGCCACAAAGATCTATTGTCCATGTGGCAATTCTCCGGCAAATGCCCAGTATCTCTGTGTGAATCTCGAACTAACCATCTCATTGGCTGCTATCAAATGCTAGCAGCTAGCAGCTTCCCAAAAGATCGCCAATGGGTTGCCTCTGACTGAACTTCTATACTCCTACCAACAAAAATAATCACTTCTTGGGTTTTAAGGGGTGGAGAGAGAATGAACCAAAGAATTTGAGACGTTGAGTCATGAACCAAAGTCTCTTCAGGGTGAACTGGAGCTTCGACACGCTTGAACCGACACCATTCACTGCAGCACGCAAAGCCTGTTGAAATAGCGCACCCGCCGAATACACATAGTGAGAATAGAATGTGGACCCACCAGTGTCAAAGTTTTGTTCAAAGCTATCCTCTGGACCGTCGAAACAGTTCCAGAGACTCCGGGCACTGCTAAGCGTTGCCAGAGATGATCCTTTCGAAAAGGCTTTGAGCTTAAACACTTAGTTTCATGGATCGGAGTGTGGTGCTGGGAGAGTTCGATTTGGAAGAAAGCTCATGGTTTCTTGAGAAACATGTCATGCAACTACATCATACTACATCTTTCCTTTCATATTCTTCATAGGGTCAGAGTCAGTGTTTTGCTCGAAAGAACATGTTTAAAGCGTCAACTGGACGGCCCTGTCTGCTGTTTCACCCTTGCGGTCCCATCCTTTGGGAGATTCATGCCATTTCCACGGCACTCTTGCCATTCACAACAACTGTGGAGACGTTGGGAGACCACTGCAGAGCGCTGGTAGCAAGCGCTTGATAACGCTCCCAGCTTCCCCAGAACTAAATGATGTGGGTCAAGAAAGTCCATCATAGCGATCATAGCAAGACTGTGGGGGGTGAGTCCATCGAAACACCTGAGGTCAATGAGAAAATAGACATTGATATTGGTAACATTTGATAACGATTGATACACATGCTAACTCATAGACATCATATATCAGACTCTTCACCTCTAAGATCTTGTCTTTGAAGCACCTTGAATCAACTCCAATCCTCCTCTCCCTCGCAGACCGACTATGCTGCAGTCTTCTGTTTAGGCTCCTAAGGAGCTCCTCCGTCTCCGAAGTCTCATCGGTATTTCAAGGCCAACCGATCTTTTCAGCGCCTCCCTTTCTGATCTGAGACTCCAACCAGGTCACCATCAGGACCTATATTTTTCATTGGTATGCATCAGTCTCATTAGTCCCATGTCTCTACATGTCTTCGATTCTGCTCCCTACCCTCAATGTCTCTACTCACTCGAACCGTGTCCCCACCAGAAACTGGCTCATCCGTTCTGGGCTCCGGAGACCACCGTTGAACCTTCTCAGCTCTCCACGAGTCTGGATCCGCTCAAGTCGGTGGTACGAACTGCGCCGGTGGAGCCAGCGACTGATTGGGGCAAAGACCAGGTGCAAAGACCAGAACACGTGTCTAATGAGTTGATTCATTCTATTTGCATTGTACTTTTGCATCAAACATGTAGCAATATTTGGCCCAACCAGGGTTCAAGGTGTAATCGTACACTAGACCAAGACTTGGGTTCATGGAGGTTCATAGTTTAGTTGTGAACACGCAGGGAGTTGGCACGTTGTCACCTTGTCCGAACTGTTTCTGGCTAGCTGCGTGACAATGGTGATCTAACTCTTCTGGCGTGCAACTAACAGGTCTCCAAGGGCGTTCAAACAACATCCAGTCCAAAAACACAATATGAATAGTTACTTATATAATAGTTATTAGCTTTGGGTCCAAAGAGTGGTTCTTCTAACAAGAAAGTGAAGATTCTCATAGTCCTCCACAAACATGTTCCACCTTGTTCCAACAAAGGTTCGACAACACTCAGATTTTGGAAGTCCAAAAACCAACTCATTATTCTTCCCACCCGCAAAAAAGTGCCACTTGACAAGTACCAAACAGCGATTCGGAGCAGTTGCCTGGCCTACATAGCGACCCAAGAGGCAACAGAAGACGGAGATCAGCCACACAAAGAGGAGCGTACCTCAGCTAGATTGAAAGCATCCAAACTCGGAAAGACAAGCTCATAGTAACAACCGCCTAGGCAATCTCAGTTCCGTTTGATTTGAAGGCGTCAAAGGTAGCTAGAAATATCCAAAGCAGTATCAGTCCACTTGGCTGCACAGAAACTCCGAATTAGCCTTCAGGTACTTGAGAAGAAATTGACTTGAGTTCACCTGAATTCCTTGCTCCCTCACCTGTCCAGTTGTAGAATCCAAATGAATCACCGACTAGCAGCCGGCAGAAGAGGAACAAATACCTGCTGAACAGAAACCTGATCCGCTGGTCCACCAGATCATCAACCCGACCAAATCACAAGAGATTTGCTGCTAACGGATCCAGGCCTAAAAGACCGTTCATCATGGAGCAAAGGACCACTGGTATGCGCCCTGACCGCCGGCTGCCGCTGTGGGCGCAAAAAGTGTCCAACGTGATCAGGTGGATCAATCTTGGTGATGCTATTGAAACGATCGCTGGTGGTGGGCGCACACAGCGATATTGTTTGGTAGAAATATTGATGAGATATTTGCTTGGTGGGGGCTGGTATGGGATTCTGGTATGTGCTCCTGGGACAAGGTCCTTCATCATTGTTTGAGGACTCACAGAGCTTGGATACAATCGACGTGGGAAACTCTGCCAGGCAGAAAGGGCGCTGAAGAAGTTTCCCCTGGTACAGTACAGGCAATATGTTTTATTCATCACATGTAGGATACATAGACTTGTACTACAATGCTATCAAGTACCTCTTCTTTTTTCTACTCTTCTTCATGTTCTTCTTCGTCTTCTTCTTCTTCTTTTTCTTCTTCTTCTTCTTCATCTTCTTCTTTCTAGGAAAGCAATGCAACATGCTCAAAAAGCCTATAGGCCTCGGGCCTCTAGGACCTAAGACTGACCCCAAAAGTGCCACCGAGCCGACTGGAACTGCCGAGAAAGAGACAGGGGACGGCGTAACCCGCTCGACTCGCCTTCTGCACCCATGAGCTCCGGGCTAAAGGCCCGCTCTTGGAAGACGAGCAAGGCTGACCTTGGTGTGCTGGTGAAAGTGAGGTTGATGAAGTATAGTAAGAGTCGAAGCTCCGAAATTGTCTGAACGCATTTTTTTTCTGCACCAACATGTGGGCTGGGCTTGATGAAAAAGTGAGAACATTGCCACACGCTGCCAAACGTTGATCAAGGCAACAATGTGTCGGACAAATAACTGGGATTCGGAATCTGAATCATATCCCACAAACATGTTTCTATCATCTACAATATCTGAGTGTCGTGCAAGGAAGTCAGCATCAAAGCCTGTCAACGGAAGTCCATCTGCAAGGTTTAATTCAAACACGCTCACAAGCAACTGTCTGACATGTGATCCATTCTGGCGCAAGTTGGAGGCTCGGACTGGGGGTAGGGGGGAACCCAAACCTCAGAAATCAGAACCCTGTTGTTTGCTCATCTTCATATCCGTGCCCTTGCTGCTTGGGACATCTTTGAGCAACCTAAACACAATGCAGTCTTCTCATGTGTCCTTGGGGCGGGGTCTTCCACCCCAATTGGAAATCCATTTCTTCAACGGATTCTCGTTCGGTCAGTGAAGGCCAAAGCTGGAATGAGACGCTTCCAGACTATGATGTTGGACACACCACCGCACATGCTTTATGGTGCAAACAAACAAACCATGCACACAAAGAGTGAGCGATAAACCGATAAAGAATTGCCTTGCTCCGTCAAGTGAGTCTTCAATCTTCAAATAGTATAAAATAATCAGTTCCACCCGCTCTAACTCATCCAGTGCTGTCAGTTTCTGATTCTGTCTCAAAAACCACCCCGTCCCATTCAAAAACACTTTGTCCCGCCCAAGGCGGTCTCTCTTCGGTCCCCGCCTGCCGGAAGTGACATCGGATGAAATCAGACCTGCGAGCCGAACCGATGGAGCGACCGATGAAGCGATCGTATGGTGCTGACATCGCATGATGTCGTGAGCACGTTTACGAATCAACTAATTGAGCTATTCGGGAGGAATATGAAAATAGATGTTGAATAGTTTCTGTACTATATGAACGAAAGAAAACAAACCATGCATGTAAGGCCATGGAAAGCAGTGCAGTGAGGAAATGACCAACACTTGTTCTGACAAGTTCCATTCAAGCAAACATGTGTTTGGGATGTCTTTGCACATCATGTCCGTTGACTGAGTTTTTTCCCTTTGCTCCAAGTGGACCAAGTGTATTTGGTTTGAGACATGGAGAAATGGTTTGAGACA